AATAGAAACAAAAAACCGAGAAGCTCCAACAATGAAGCAGGATAATGCAAAATGGCAAAAAAAAAAAAAGGTGTTTTTTTCTTTTGTCTTTAAATGTTGGTCAAATATTGAAATCCTCTATCATGATTAATTTCACAGAACAGTCACTCTATACCCTTAACCCAGTCAGTTGACCCATGATCTGGGCTTCCGCTTCCTGATGTACCCACAGAAAATCCCCACCCAGAACTGTATAGGATGCTTCATAATAGACAATGTCTACTTTTTAATATTTGTCAGAAACAGACATAGGAACCACCACGTGGGGCAGTAAAGTCCTCAAATTCTAGTAAAATAGACATGTGTTCAAATTCTGCCCCTTCATGTGACCTCTGACAGGCTATTCAACTCCTCTAAGTCTCTGTGTAGATTTTTATCTCAAGGGTCCTGTGAGGATTATGTGAGATCAGATATGCAATATTTGGCCCAGTGCCTGGGCACAGTGAGTGCTCAGTCTCTGTTAACCATCCTATATAATAAAAGGCTAATATGCAAATTGTCCCCTCAGGAGTTCGACCCACCAGGAGTTCAACCGCTCCCTATGACCACCAGGGGGCGGCGCGGAGCAAAGGAAGGCCCTGGCCGGCAGTTGGCAGCTGGGGGAAGGAAAGCCCCGGTTGACCCTGATCACTGGCCAGGCCTAGGGACCCTACCCACGCACGGATTTCATGTACCAGGCCTCTTGTAGTCATAAACACTGAGAGCACAAGAAGACAGCACATAATCAACCCAAGCCCCACTCTGATAACTACTGTTCTCCAGTCACTTCACCACAGAAAAATAATCATTAATGCAACTGTCTTCTGATAATCATTAATGCAACTGTCTTAAAATCTAATCCTTTCAATGAAAAAACTCTAGAGATGGAGAACAGATCATTGATTACTGTGGTGGAGTGGTGGAGGGTCACTATAAAGGGTAGTAGAAGGAAATTGGAGGGCGGGGGGGGGGGGAGGGGGCGAGGTTATTAATGGCACTGTTCTGCATCCTGATTGAGATGGTGTTTATAACAATCAATGCATTGGTCAAAACTCATGAAATTTATACATGTAAATTAAGATTTTTTTTTAAATTGCAAAACAAAAAATCCCAATCTTTTCTAACTGTGTACTAAACCAAAATAATAACACAATTGAACTTTTAGGTGCCCAAGATACTGTAACTGCAATATTCTCTATATTATCCTGTAACTAACATAAGCCTATCCAATTTTAGTTACCAGCTGTGATTTATTCAAGCACAAAATGTCAATACCATAATAAACACAAGGCACTGCTTTGCTACAATAGAAGCAAAAAGACTTTGAAAATGTACAACATCAATCAACATTAGATATAAGTGGTACTCTCCATTTACTGACAAAAGGGAGTTTTATAACATTAGGCTTAACTTCATAGATCTCTATTTTGCTGCTTAATGAGTAGGTTACTTAAGGTGCATGAGTTATTATTATTAATCCCTAAATAGTAATATATAAATAGTAAACTTTAAAGATTTAATAAAGCTTAAAATGGCTAGACATGTACACATCAAGAGAGACAGCCCACTAAAACGTCAATGCATACATTTCGCCTTTTCAAAAAGGCCATAACATGTTTCACTCAGAAAACAATTCATATATTGCGCAAAGGTAAAGTCCCAATACAAACACATTTTATCCCTATCACCTCCTGGTTACATTGTAGGTAGAAGATTTGGCCACCAAATAATTACTTTTTTTTTTCCAATTCAAATAAACTGGAGAAGAACAAGGCAATGTGAAATTAACACTATGAAAATAAAAACAACCCAAGAGTAGCCACTTAACTGGTGAAGGTATAAACAAATTACTATATATCCAGGCAATGAAACACTGCCCAGTAATTAAAAAGGAAAGAACTATTGATACTTACAAAAACAAAGATGGCTCTCAATTATGAGTGAGAGAAGCTCCTCCAACACCCAACCACCCCAAAAAACAGCTCCTACAGTAAGATTCCATTTAGATAAAATGCTAGGAAATGCAAACTTATCTAGTGACAGAAAGCAAATTAGTGGTTGCCTGAAAGACAGCAGCCAGATAAATAAATGAATGAATGAATGAACGAATGAATTAATGAATGATAGGGGCCTAAAGGATTACAATGGACAAGAGGAAACTTTTGTGGGTAACAGATTACTTTGATTGTGCTGATGGTTTCACTGGTATATACATGTAAAACACATACAGTTGTACAATTATAGCTCAATAAAATTGTTTAAAAAGAAAACCATTAAAAAAATACATCTTCCTGGCCTGGTACAAGTATACCTCGGAGATAACATGGGTTAAGTTCCAGGCCACCGTAAGAAAGCACGAATTACAATAAAGCAAGTTGTAATCTTTTTACTGGTGGAGAGTATTATCTTCCATTTGTAAAAAACCCAAGATCTGTGAAATGCAATCAAGTGAACTTCAATAAAACCAGGTATGCTTTTATGTGAAAATCAGAAGCAATGAATATTGCACTTATGAAATACTGTTCTTCCCTATATTCCCAGGATATAAGTATTCAGTACATTTTGCAACACTCACATGTGTCTAAATAAAAAACAACAGGGTCTTCATTCTGCTTTCCCCAATGAATAGATGGAGGAAGAAGAGACAGAAAGGCTGGACAACTTGCTTAGGACATAGAATAAATAAATGCAAGTTGATTGATTACTGAGAAGGTGATTCACCACATTCCCAGTCCGATTATCTTAACTGCCTTCAAATTCCTAATTAAAGTAAAATCATGTAAGGGAGATAAAAATCTAACATACAACAATGTGGAAAATGTAAAAGTCATTTGCAGTTTCTCTAATACAGTGGTTTTCAACCTTCTGGCCCTTTAAATATAGTTCCTCATGTTGTGACCCAACCATAAAATTATTTTCGTTGCTACTTCATAACTGTAATGTTGCTACTGTTATGAATCGTCATGTAAATATCTGATATGCAGGATGGTCTTAGACGACCCCTGTGAAAGGGTCGTTCGACCGCCAAAGGGGTCTCAACCCACAGGTCTAATACCTTACTGGTTCCTTAATTCCAACCACAGGTCTCAACCTCTGCTGACATTGGGTTGGAATCTTTAAAAAAAAAAACAAACTACAAAACTCCCCAGGTAATTTTCATGAGTAGCAACATTAAACTCCTGAGATAAATCAGATTTAGACTTCTCATTAAAGCAAGGCACAAGAAAGCAAGGTGCCAAAAAAAAATTTTGATAAACTATGACCCAAAGTTTTTCAAATCAATACTGAACTGCTGAATATATGCAGGCCAACATTTAATAAATTAAAAGTAAAAATATGCACATAGGTTTTTGTCAGAACAGAATTTACATAACAACATACCAGACTGACAAATTCTCTTCAACTTTTTAGAATGCTAAATTGGAATATATTTTAAATATATATATATTTTTTAATTGATTTCAGAGAGGAAGAGAGAGATAGAAACATCAATGATGAGAGAGAATCATTGACTGGCTCCCTCCAGCAAGCCCCCCACTGAGGACTGAGCCTGCTACCCAGGTATATATATACCCTGACTGGGAATCTAACCATGACCTCCTGGCTCACAGGTCCACACTCGCTCAACTACTGAGCCATACCCCTCGGACTAAATTGGTATCTTGACATCAAGTTGATGAGCTACAAGCACTGAAAAATGTGCCATATATCTAATGCATTTAAAACATGTAGTAAACTGACAATATATTGTGAACTGTTTAAGCAGCACAGACTGAAAAGAGACTATCTTTGTCTTTAGTCCACTTTCTGAATGAGTGCTCTTTAGGATGCACTTTTTAGGGACGATTCTGACTCAGCAGGTCTTAGGATGAGGTCTAAGCCTACATTTCTAACAAGCGCCCAAGTGACAGCGATGCTGCTGGTAGGTAGACCACATTTTGAGCAGCAACTTGATTATTGGTTGTAAAATCAACCAATGGGTCTACAACATGGTTATGACTAGGTTCCAGGAAATACGTGTCAACACAATTTATTCCTAGAAAAGGTGGGAGGGGAGTGGCGAGGGGGTTGGAGAGGAGAAGGAGCAGGTGAATACTGAAACACTTATCTGGTCTGGCAGTGTGAGGAAGGGCAGTCTACAGGCACACCTCAGGTCCTTGCACCTCACAGGTGTTGCGTGTTTTACAAATGCAAGGCAAGACCTGAAAAATGATTACGACTTGCTTTATTACAGTGGTCTGGAATCAAACCCACAGTATCTCCTGACCTAGGTCAGTGGTTCTCAACCTTGGCTGCACATCAGATCACTGGGATCTTTTTAAAATCCT